GGGTGCAGCCCTTCAGCTGTACGATCAGCTCGTTCTCCTCTCTGCAGCAGCAGCAGCAGCAGCAGCAGCAACAGCAGCAGCAGCAGCAGCAGCAGTGGGGACAGCAGCAGGAGTTAATCGTGAGCGGGGTCTTGAGAGAGATCCGCTGCTGGAGTTTGGGCTATGCGGCAAACCCTAAACCCCAAACCCTAAACCCTCAAACCCTAAACCCTAAACCCTCAAACCCTAAACCCTAAAACCCTAAACCCTAAACCCTAAACCCTAAACCCTCACCGTATCGTCTTGAAAACCCTCATAAGCCGACCCACAGACTGCACCTTTCGCCGGAGGGCTTCAGCCCGCTCGCGGCTTATGGGGGTTCCAGCACCTGCACACCCAAACCCTAAACCCTAAACCCTAAACCCTAAACCCTAAACCCTAGACAATGGAGCCTAAACCCTAAACCTCCACTAATGCAAGCAGAAGCATTTCTATCAACGCAAAGAATTTAGGGTTTAGGGTTTAGGGTTTACAGCTCAGGATAAACACTAAACCCTAAACCCTCTAATTCAGAGGCCTCAAAAAACCTAAACCCTAAACCCTAAACCCTAAACCCTAAACCCTTACTGGGAGGTCGGCTTCTCTGGGTGCTGCCGTCATCCGCCAGCACAATATTTGCATGCATTATCTTCACCACCTGATACACACAAACCCTAAACCCTAAACCCTAAACCCTAAACCCTAAACCCTAAACCCTAGACCGTGGTCTCTAAACCCTAAACCCTCACTGCCTTTCCCTAAACCGCTCTCGACCCCAAACCCCTAAACCCTAAACCCTAGACCCTAGACCCTAAACCCTGATCTCTAAACCCTAAACCCTAAACCCTGATCTCTAAACCCTAAACCCTAAACCCTAAACCCTAAACCCTAAACCCTGAGACTTTCCTCTGGGGGTAGTTGCACGTTGTCTATCTCTTCGTCTTCTTCTGCTTCCTCCAAAGAAGGGTTTAGTATGCCGTATAGCATCTCGGTCACTGTACACACAAACCCTAAACCCTAAACCCTAAACCCTAAACCCTGATTACGACGCTGCTGTGCAGCTCCAAACCCTAAAAACCCTAAACCCTAAACCCTAAACCCTAAGAAAACTATAAATGCTGCGATATCTGGAGAAGGGTACATGCATTCTCATCAGGGCTGTTATTAAGGGTTTTTTATATTTAGGGTTTAGGGTTTAGGGTTTAGGGTTTCCTAATTAGGGTTTAGGGTTTATGATTTAGTGTATTCAATAGAGAACTAAGGGTTTAGGGTTTAGGGTTTAGAGTTTCGTATCTACACTCCGAAGGGTTGTTAGCATCTCGCGTTCACTCTCTACCACCCACCCCCAACAAGGGTTTAGGGTTTAGGGTTTAGGGTTTAGGGTTTAGGGTTTAGGGTTTACCTTTTTCGGAGACAAAAGGAATAGACCACGTAAAGATATCCATAAAGTTAGGGAGATGATAAGGGTGCGGGCTGTAGTTGAACTGCTGAATGTTTAGAGTGTTATTCTGTAGTAAATAAACAAATAAATAAATAAATAAATAAATATATTTATATTTATTTATT